ATCTAAAGTGGTCTCTGTCCTTGAACTTGTATTTTAAAAATGCCTAAAAACATATGAATAATCGGTTAGCCCTGTCGGGGTCTTTCTGTTAGAAGATGAATAAGCAAAGGCACATCTGACATTTCATTTCACTGACATTTTATGTTGTTCTAAGTCTTTTTCCTTGTTTCCTCAAGTACATTTTCTGCTCAGATTCTGCAAATGGGCATCCGGATGAGTCAGAAACTGGTTAAGTTTATCAAGCCTTACAGGTTTAGTGATTTAATTACATGTTTCTTGGGATTTAGAAACAGTATGTGGTCTCTCTGTGCATCAGATACACATGAGGCAGAGGTCCTTGTCTCTCTCTGGTTTGTTGGGTGACACATCAGGCCAACCTCTGGAAGCCCAGGACTGGGAACCCTAGCATGCTCCGGGCTTGGTACAGAAAGGAAGAAGAGGGAATTGCTAGAACCTTCCTCTCCCTCCTCCATCTGGGGCCAGGCCTTGAAGGTACCTGTGGGAGATGATGTGTGTTTGTTTGCTGCTTGTTTTTTGAACATGTTGAGGGTGCTGGTAAATCCTATAGAAAGAAACATCCAGCATGCACTTGGAAACGTGGGGTGGGTATTTAGGAAAAGGAACTGCCCAGTCTGCCAGTGAACAAGTATTTATTGGGTGTCTCCATGACAAGAGGCTGTTCTAGATTCCAGAGGTGGTGAAGGAACCAGACAAGTTCCCCAGAGCTCACGGTCTAGAGGGGAGACAGAGGGGGAAAGTCAGCAAGGTATCAGTCAGCAAATGACACATGCTAAGAGGCAAGACAAGAAAGCAGAGAGGCAGGTGTTAGAGAAGGTGAACAGCAAGTGCTCCGGGACAGGCCAGCGGTCCCTGTGGTGGGGTAGGCCTGGGCTGTCTGGGGAGAGGGTTTGGGACCAGGTACCTGCTGCGGTCCTCAGAGTGGACGAGGCCCATGAGTCAGAGGAGTAGCCAGCAGGTCAGTGTGGCTGGAGTTTGGATGGTGGAGGGGGTGTGTCAGAGGAAGAGGTCAGGGAGGGAGCAGGGTAGGCATGGAGGCCTTCTCAGCAAAGGAGGAGCCACAGAAGGAGAGAAGAAGGTTGAGAGCCAGAGACCTTGAGGCAATCCTCCAGCCCAGGCAGTGAGTGAGATGAAGAAGGCAAAAGAAGGCAGAAGACAGAACTTGGGGGTACACAGGACAAGCACTTTATTCATCACTCGCGGACTCTACAGTCTAACTGAGGCTCCAGTTTTTCCCACCTCCAGGCTACTGAAGATCCAGTCCGAAGCAGAATGAGGCAGAATCCAGTGAAACCACTGATGTCCAGCTGGACCCCCTCCTTTTTTCACTCCTCTGTCCATCAGTCATCTCCTGTGGATTGCATTTTTCATCTCATCCCACGAACCCCTTCCCTTCCTCCTACAAAATCAGCTCACCTTCCAGACCTTAGTAAAACAAATCAACAAATAAAGAAAAGAGAACCCTCTTTTTCTCTCTCCCACCTGCACCTGGAAAGGAATCGTTTTCATCCTTTTACAACTCTTAGATCTGAAGAATCTGTGTCTAGCTTAAACCTCCTACCATCATATGCAAGTGCTCTCTCAAAGATTATAGTGACCAAATAACCCATGCTTATTTCTAGCGTGGGTTTGGTGTTCTATCACCAAGTCTCTGAGTCTTTCCTTACAGCTCCTGTCTGCTTCAAGGACCTTCGTCTGAACTTCTGCCATGTTGTTAAAGGTTGTGAGAGCAGACCACTGGGGCCAGGTGTCCTAAATTAATGGAAATGCCAAGGGCCTCCCATGGGGCAGGGGGCAGAGGAGGGGTTTGTTTTTTGTTTTGGGGGGGGGGTTTTATCCTCTGGGAGGTAGTTAACAAAAGACAGGAAACTGTGGCCCAAAGACTAGTAACTCATAGGTTATTCACGTTCCTCCTTGAACATCCCCCATCTCTGCCACTGTTAAAGCTCTTTATTTTCTGAATTGAAAAACCATTTCGTGCCTCCTGCTCAGTTATTTTAGTACTTGCTCCTAAGTTTGGCACCAATCCTAACTGTTATGAAATCATATATGAATAATAATGAAGTTCTTCTTTCCTGGGATCCCATAAGGTTATCCTTTCTAGTTCATGACAGGGCCCTTTGGATGCTCCCATTGGGTTCTAAATGATTGGAACCGTGGGGAAAAGGTTTGTCTGGCTCCACCATTCA